CCAGGCGTGTCCAAACATTTTATCACATGGGCCAAAATCATAAAATCAGAAGGACTTGAGAGCCAAAAATATTTTCCTTTACCTGCTCAACAATAAATTAAGCATTGAATACTTAAATTAAACAAATAAATTAGTCAGATTTATTGCTGGAAATGGATGTGTAAATTAATCCAGATCCAGATGTTTAAAAGTGTTTTGCATGTTTCCTTAATTGAAAGAATTTTTGCAATTTTCTAGGTTTTAATTGGGGAATAAAGAACCCAATTTAGTTAATTCTGATCAATAAAATCAGGATTTAGGTCACTCCTTCTTTGAAAATGCTTGCTGTATTCAGACAAATTTAATAAGTTAATTAAAAGCAAATTGGAGGGCAGCAAAATCAGCTTTAGAGTAGAAGTCAGATAGATGTGGAAAAAACTAAGAGCCTGGTTATTTATAGACAAATAATTGGCATTGTTACCAATATTCTTTATTGGAAGAAGATTTTACTTTGTGATCATTTTGCCCTAATTAAACATAGAAAGTCTCCATCTACACCTGTGCTGGGGGGACAAATTTGTAAACAAATTAGTGCAATTCTTCAGGGGCCACACAAAATCAGTTCAGGGGCCACAAATGGCCCCCGGGCCACACTTTGGACACTCCTGATATAAACAGTATTTTAATAACAACTGAAGGTGGCATAGTTACTTTTATTATGGTATAGAATTTAAATATATGCATGAGAAACACATAATATTGTCCCTTTAAAGGAGCTGAGATCTGCAGTCAGATCCTGAATCACTTCTCTTTACAGGAATCCGTCTATAAAGTCACACATGGATGAAAGTAAAGCTTACTTTTGGAATATTTTTAAAAGATCCAAATCCATATCATGGTTTTGTTGTAATTTTGTCTTGTTTTGCTTCATTTTCATTTTACATACTTAAGATGCAATTAATTTGCATAATGCAAAACAGACATATGAGTGGACTATGGGAGATTCTGTTTTCTCAACTAAACATCTGTGTAACAGGAAAGAATGTCCTGAGCATAGATTGTTACATATCGATGGTTCTGACAGGCTGCGAACGTATCAGTCAGCTGGGAGTTGAGTCAATGTTTGGACTGACTAGACTAATACATACTGTAAACCCGATGGCTCTCAGCACACATGAACTGTTAGGTTGAGAAACTAGCATCTGCTGTTTGACTATAAGCATGTAATCTGTAGGTTTCTTGGATCATGGGTGAAGTTAGAGGCAGGTCTATGAAGTTATCTTTTATAAATAAGGTTGTGTTTAGGCTGCTCTAAATGGTAACATTTAAGGATTTTCTCGCTTTCAAAACCAGCTCTCAAAAATACTGTTTTACAGGCACCTAAAAAGCTTTTCCCATGTGGGCAGGGCCTAAATGTGAGCCAGGTGTGGCAAAAGTGTGTCAAAGGTCATTTCACTTGTTAACACACTGCATCCCCCCCCAAAGGGTTAAATGCTCTCACCTATCTGGTTCTGAAATCTCTGTCGCTCTAGGTACAAAACGTGAGCAGTGTTTCTGAATCAGCAGCTGCACAACCGGCTCGCAGACATGCCGTCACCATGGCCACGGCTATGCCACCAGCATCTCTGTTTGTAACCAAACGATGGAAGATGAGAAAAGTCTGTAAATGGAAAAAAAAACTGTTGCTGGTGCAAGAAGGTGACTCCAGCAGAATTCAAATGAATCACAGCAGAGCGTATGGTGCACACTGGAAAACACTACACACATGAGCAGAAACCACTCGAACTGTCTATTCTTATCAATCATTTCTTATTTGTGCTCAAAAAGTTCAGTTTAGAACCATAATGTGGTGCAAAAAAATGTCACCTTGCCTGATGTTTCTGTGTTCTCCCTTTGCTGCCATGCCTCTCAAACATTTGCTTCTGCTCCATTAGTATGCAAGCGTCTCACTTCACATCACAGACGGCTTTGGTGCAGCTGCTGATAGCGAAGGTAAAGCCGAGGAAGGGAAGGGCGCACGTCCACTCAGTCAGAGAGGAGACTTAAAGAGGGGAGGATGAAGAGCTCTGCTTCAGCTGCAAAAGCAGCAGAAAATCCAACGCTTTAATCGTACAGACAGAAAGCAAATCATACTGCATACTCGAACAACATTTCCATGACTCCACTGAGGGTTTAAAAGTTGCAGGGCAGCAAATTGTCTCTGTATTTCTGTTTACTGCAAATCCATATGATAGCTTTATTTCCCCGCGGAACAGAGATGGATGGTGGCACAGTTTTTTCTTCTCTCACTTCAATGTTTTTCTCTTTGTTTTTGTTTTTTTGCTCACATCCCTCCCCAGCAGCTCAGCTCCCTTTACAGTCGAACAGTCAATATGTTGTCAGTGGTTCATAGATCCATCATAGTGTCACACGAAGTCTCAAATCTCAGGAAGAAATGTACTCAAGATGATACAGCTGTCTGAGGAAATGAACTTGTGCTGTTTTCTTTGGCCTTATTGATGATACAATCTCATTCTAATTAAAAGTGATAGCATATTTTTATTTTAACCTAAAATTTAATTGTTTTTTTGCTCACCTTTTATTGTGTTTTAAATGATAACTAGAGAAACTACAGGGGTTAGACAATGAAACTAAAACACCTGGTTTAAGACCATAACATCCCTTTCAGACAGCTTCCTCCTGCGTCCACAGTCAATCCTGCTGGATGTGGTTCGTCCTTCTTGGTGGTATGCTGACATTACCCTGGATACTRTGRCTCTTSATACATCACAAAGACTTGCTGTCTTGGTCACAGATGCTCCAGCAAGACGTGCACCAACAATTTGTCCTCTTTTGAACTCTGGTAWGTCAACCATAATGTTGTGTKCMTYGCAGTAGTTTGAGCAAAACTGTGCTCTTACCCTGCTAATTGAACCTTCACACTCTGCTCTTACTGGTGCAATGTGTAATTAATGAAGACTGGCCACCAGGCTGGTCCAATTTAGCCATGAAACCTCCCACTCTGAAATGACAKGTGTTTCAGTTTCATAACACCTGTACATTTTCTGCAGAAAATRCAGTGTAAATGYTGAGTTCTGAGTTATTTGAGTATGTAGTTTTCTGAAAAAGCTGTTAATTGTTAAAGCTTGAATCAGAACACTGGCTAAGACTCTAAAGTAGCAAAAATTTACCTGAAGGCTAAAAGTGGCAAAAAAAAGAGATCTAGCTTAATGTTGAAGTAGTAAAATGGTGGCTAAAAGWAACAAAAAGCAAACTAAAAACTTACTACTAACTATCAAAATGCGAACTGAAAGCTAAAAGTATCAAAAAGACTGCTAGAATTTAAAAAGTATCAAAAAGCTAGCTGAAGCTAAGCTAAATGTTGTAGAACAGTAGCTGAAAATAGCAAAAAAGAAGCATATTTTCAAAAGTACAATATTTTTAATCAATTGAAAATCTTTAAGAAAATTCATGAACAAAGTGAAATATTTAAAAAAGTATTAAAGTTAACAAAAACCGGGGTCACTTCCGGAACNGGGAAAAAAAAGTCTTCACATCTTGTTCATATACCTTTGGTCATTTTGTATTTTGTTGTTAAAACCGAATAAAAATACATTTAAAAAAAAAAAAAAAGTTAACAAAAACCAAAAGTTATAACAGTTTCTGAATATGCTAAATGTGCATTTAGTGTATAAAACCTTTTTAGAAAATTTAAATCTGTTAAAACAAAGACAACTTCCTGGTCTGTCACAACATCTTGACAAATGATTTCAGGGCCCCATCATGTTTCCACATTTCCTTTCAGATCATACCCTGAAAAGGGGGTGGGGGGTGGGGGTGCTGGTCAGGCTGTCGGCCCCCTTCATTGCTGTGGGAACCCAGACACCAGCATGTTGCGGAGTCGGACCTATGTTGCGCACAATGGCTCCTATCCAAACAGACACAACGAGGCGTGTCTTTGTTTCGGAATTTTCTCACACTCCTCTTCATCAGATGGAGGAGATACGTCACTGAGCTCCAGGCCTGCCAGGGCTCGGGGGCTGGGATTTGGGGAGAGGGGTGGAAGGCAAAGTACCCTGACCTCCTGAACTATTATCAGATCGGGGTCAGTGAGCAACATCAGCCTCAAGTTTGTGTACAAAAGTTGTTTTGGTTGCAAAGCAGAACRTGTGTGTAACTCACACAGGGCGTGAGGGTCACATGTCTTAATTAAAAGCTGATAACTGCAGTTGTGCATTAATATTAWTGATCTTTGTGTTGCATTAGTGGTCTCACTAACAGGTGTCTTTTGAATGCAGCAGCTGACAAAAACAAAGGCATACCTCTAGATGAAAATGAGCAGTTTTAGCAAATTTCTTTGTATAATATACACAGATTTTAAGACTCTCAGCCAGACAAAGAAATAAAAAAATAAACCTGATCCACTGCTCTCTAGGAGAGCTCAGCACCTGCGAGTGATGCTGCAGTTTGTGTAAAATRTCACGCTGCTTCAGCAGCTGCTGACGTCCTGGTGAAACACCTTTGGCAAGATTTAATCCCAAATCGAGCTGCAAATTTATTCACACAGTTCTCACCCAACGTTTGCTCTTTTTGTGGCAAAATGTTGCAACTTCAGACAGGTTTGCACCGATTTGCTCTGCATTGTCTTTGTTTTCCTCTCTCTCATGTGACCATCTGACTTTGTGAGGAAACAGAGACCGACTCCGGTGTTTTACAAATTACAGCTGAATTATTTTACACTAATAAACTTGAGGCAATCRTTGATTCATTTGGACATTTTAAGTTTTGTTTTCAGTCTAATTCAAGTCTCATTTTCATTTATTTCTTCTGCTTGGCTGCAACCCACTGCTTCACAGCTTGTGTTTTCTCTTTGTTGATCAGTGCAGTACTTTAAACACAAAAAACAACGACTTCATCATTTTTTTCTCTAAAGTCCTTTTCCTAAAATAGCTCCTTGTTAGGTGAGAAAATGCAAAGCTAATATGTTTATAAACAGACATTAAGACCTGAACACATGCGTTAAAGGAAGAGATGTGGCTCACCTATAGAAGCACTGAATCAAAGGCAGGGATGCTGCAGGCTGCTGTTTCTGACTCCAGCAGCATCCGCAGCTCCGGGAGGAAGGATGCTCGCCTCACCGATGCACTCTCTGGGTTTTAGAGAGGAAATAATCAGATTTGTTCAAACATGTTGAAAACACTCTGGTGTTCCTCCTGCTCCRGTCGCTCAGTGTTGGAAAAGATTCAGAAGGAGGAGGGGAATGTGGGGGAAAAAAAGGCAGCAGTAGAGCGCAGCTTCCAGACACAAACAGCTGCCCTTCTCCTCCTCCTCTTCTTCCTCCCTTTCTGTGTGCGGGTCAGCGCGACTGAAACCCGTCTGACTCTGACTTGTTGTGTCCAAACAGGCAACCTCACCATCTGTTGTGTCATGGCTGCCATGGGAACACAGGCCACGCCCCTTCAGTCCCGAGCTGCGATGTTGTGATGTGATGTGGAACCATCAGGACGTCTGTTGTTGTCTTTAGGCACTCATGAGGTCAACAGCACTGAGCTGGGGGGTCCTCATTTTGTTCTYAAGCTCCAAAGTGGAGCTGGTGCCATGATCCAAGGTGGTTTTAGTTTATTGACCTAAAAAATTAATTATCCGTCATAATCACGAATCTCAAAGTGGAAATATCTATCACACTAGATTTAATCCTGACACATAATCTTGTATTTATTTTATTCCCCTACTGCGACGCTGCTGTTTACATGCAGCATTTTTTGTGCACAGTGGGTCATAAGGAGGGATTGTGATGATAGTAACAACAATTTAAAAATACATTGATTTTTTATAACAATATTAAATACAATTTTGTGCTGCCTTTCACAGAACCCAGGAACACATTGGAGAACAAGGCCATAGACAATAAAGGGCTAAATAAATAAATAAATAAATAAGGACAACAAAATGCCATTTCAGGGACCAATTATTTAAAAAAACAATTCCGAAGACCTGAGGTTCTGGGATGGGGTGAAGGGGTGATCGTAGGTGACAAGGAGAATTTTGTAATGAATTTGCATAATGARTGCATTATCAGGGTTTGGTGCAGGTGAGAACCCTGGCAGAGAGTRACAGCTTTGATGCATAATTCAAAAGAGAGAGCGGACACTGAGAGGATGGGCAGCTGGAACACACATCTACATAAAGACAATCTTTCTGAACAGTCTTTGAAGCAACGTCCAGGAACTCGACTTTAGTGTTATTGAGTTTGAGTACATTTGAAGACATTCATGCTTTAACATCCCACAGGCAGCTGACCAGGGTGAGAGGGGGAGGGATTTAGATGAATGGAATTCAAGATCATAAGGGGTGATATCATCAAAATGGAAAATATAAATGATAATGAGGAGAGGTCCAAGAACGGAGCCTTGAGGTACTCCTYGATTACCCAGAGATGGTGGGAAATAACAAGAACAGAGCTTTAAGACTTAAACTCACTGCAGCTGTTGATACCAATTGTAAAGGTCTGTAGCTGCTGATACACAAAGACCATTCCTGCGTGTGCGCACACACTCACACACACACACACACACACACACACACACACACACACACACACACCAAGTTAACAGGATCAGCTGAGCGATAAGGTGGTGTTCTGCACACACTGTCTCCCACAACAACAGCCAAATGCCAGTTTGGTTCTCACTACTTCTGTTGTCGACTTTGAGGCACATAAGATAAGAATGGACATGTGACAATATATTTAATGCTTTATAACCTGAGGCTTGATTGAGTTAATGACAGTAATTGTTAAAATCAAAAGAATCTAAACTACAGGTGCCTGTTATATTCTGTGATTTTCAGTTWTATTTTTTCCCTTTAAGGTTTATTTTCACCTTTATTTCTTTATTTTTTGTATTTTATTGTGTTCAGTTTGTTCCTTGATCACCTGTGTTTCTGCCATTTTCAATAAATTTCCACAGTTAGYCTCTGCTCCTCAGTCAGCCTGCATCTACRYCTGCTCCCTGTTTCATGTGTCACAGCTGCAGACACTTCTCCCATCARCCCCAGTCCTTGYAAGCTTTTAGCTTCAGTGGAGCATTTTTTTGTTTGTTTTTTACCGCTTCTGGTTCTCCCTACTTCCTTGTATCTCCTCATGCCTTCTCGCATCTGATCTTCTCATTTTTAAATTTTTGCTGCCTCAACAAAATAAAGTTTAGTTTGTTTATATTTATGCTCCTCGTGTCCTGGGTCCAACCTCATACCACCATGATACCTATAAAACTGTAATTCACTTGTAAACAAATGTCCCACATGCAAAATATAACTTTTCAGTTCTTGGCTGTTCACTAGTTTGGATTTCTTTTCCCCTCCTCCTCCTCCTCCTCCTCCTCCTCCTCCTCCTCCTCCTCTCTAAGGAGAGCAGTGAAAATGACAGCGTTTCATCACTCTCTGTTTGAGTGGCTGTTTTGGGAGCTGCCAGGCTCCTTCTTCATCCAAACCATGGCTGCAGAGGCAGAACCTTGTCGTCTCCATCTGGTGAAAAGAAAGTGCAGACAGCAGATCTCGCTCACAGCTTTTATCTGTTTACRCTTTCATTTTAGCAGGAAGGTGGGCAGGATTTCACAGTTTTGATGCAAATAGAATACAAAAAATAGACCACAATTTTACAGTTTGCTCTCTTTTTTTGTTTAAATCACAAAAATCAGACCATGTTTTTGTGTGGAAAAATTTAACAGTCTGACTGATTTTTAAGCTTTTGAGCGGTCGTTGCTCTTGATGTTGTGTTGTTAAAAATCACTTCACCAGTTTAAATTGTTAACGTTAAATGTCTTGATGTATCTCAATAATCCAGGTAGAAAAATCTAAAAAAGGTGAAAAGTTCCACAATTATAAAATTTTAATCAGGCCAAATAAATCACATTGTCTCTCAAAACCTCAGTGACAAAAAAAAAATACATTTTTTCCCATGCTGGAAGAGTTTTGAGCCTTTTATAATCAAAGAATCGACTGAAACTTTGTGCTGCAATTAAAAATGGTTATAATGAGCCAACTAAAAAAAAAGTTTGGAGGTTTTGTATAGTTAAACGACAAGCATGTTTATGCCTTAAATTAAGTTTGCTCAGCTCTCTAAAATAACCAGCAGTTTGTTTGCATTCWTCTGAAAAGTAATACATTTTTAATCTGTATGTAGTATCTGTGACAAATATTATATCTGTATGTAAACATATGCTTCACTACTGAAGAGGTTGTCGGCTTGTTTAAAGGTCTCAGAGGTGTGTAAAAACCAAACAACTCAGATTGCCGTCAACGTTAATTTGGCACTCGTGTTGAATGTGCTTAAGTTCCAGCTGGCAAAAATCATCATTTTTCCATCATTAACTTGCAGCTCTTGTGGTGTGGTTGCCAAGGCAACAACTCCCTCTCAGGGAAAGGCGTTGCAGTACATCCACCGGTTTATTAGATTTCTGATCACACAGCTCCTTCCACATGGCCATCTGGGGAAAAAGCAGTCACAAAGAAGCACGTGGCCTCCGCTTTACCTTCTCCATGTCGTCGTTGGGCTGCGTGCGCTCCGCTGACGCGCCGAGGCTCGCCGTGTCTTTGCTGATTTGTTTGGAGGTCGCAGTTGGGTGAGATGTTGAAGCTGAGATGAGAGGGTGCTGAGATGTGGACAGGTATCAGACAGAAACACTTTATGATTCAGTTCAACACAAATGAAATTGAAAAAAGAAAAAAACATCTAAATCAATTGCAGCACTACAGAAGGCCAAAGAGATATTCAATGATCATGCATTGCTTTTATAATGCTATTATTGTTCCTGACTTGATTTATTATAAAGAGATTTGGGGGAAACCTTATAAAACATCTATTAGACCCATTTTTGTTATGCAAAAACAAGCTGTGAGAATTGTAGCAAGGAAACACTACTACCACCATTCAAATATTTTGTTTAGTCAGTTGGAGCTTTTGAAGTTTGATGAGTTGGTTGAGTATAGGATTCTATTACTTATGTATAAGGCTCATATGAATATACTGCCCTTTAACATACAACCACTTTTTTTGTAAAAGGGATAGCATATATAATTTGAAAAGACTTGAAATGTTTCTCAAACCTAAAATTAGAATGAATTTTAAGGAGAAATGCCCTCCCTTCAAGGGAATTAAATTGTGGAACAATTTGGAAAATGTCTTTAAAAATGTCAGTATGATTTATATATCTGCTAGATTGATAAAACCTTTTTTTGTTGTTAAAATATGAACAAAATGTAGACTGAGTATTAATTTGAGTATTTTTTTTATTTTTGATAGTTAGATTGTTTTTGCTGTATTATGTTCATCACTGATGTTAAAAAGTGAACTGTTATTAATGAATATCCACAGGCTGTTTGCGCCTTGAGAAATTTTCTCTTTTAAGTTGTAGCAGTTTTTTGTTTTTCTTTCAAATGAAATACATATTTAAAAGAAAAAAAAGAAGAAGAAAGGATAAGGGAAAGAAAAAAATATATTTTGCTTGATGACCTTAAGAATGCTGTAACGATTTATTAATTTAGTAGAATGCTAAAAGTTTTTTTTAATGAGATATGAAAAAAATATTGGTTAAGATTTGTATTTATGTTGTGATGCTGTTTGTTGATTACTTGAAATTATATTGTGTATTAAGTTGAGTTTTTTATTCATATGCTGTACGTTTTTTTAGATACATACATTTTTTTAATTGGGGCAGATGTTATAAGATTTTATTCTTCTTTCTGCTCCTTTTCATTTTTCTGTTGTGATTGTGTTTTTGACACAACGATGCATTATTTGTTTGTTTCTATTATTATTTGTTTGTTCTTTTATTATTTGTTTGTTCTATTATTATTTGTTTGTTCTTTTATTATTTGTTTGTTCT